CTTGTTTTTTCCTCATTTAAATAAGGCGTAAAATTTGACGAAATACACTCATTTGCAGACTAATTTGGCGTTAAACAAGCTAGTTCCATACTTGAAGCTTTCATTTACTATATACTTTTTATATAGATGTGCTGCACAAAGACGGCCTCATGTTTCAGTTGGCACGATGTTCGAGATATCGCGGTATATTTTCATGAAGGAGACTACTCACAAGTTTGCGGAAAACTCTTCGACAGCCCACACCCAGTTTTGTTCTTACAATTGGGGCTCATTAGGTTTGTGCGGTTGCCGAGTTTCCGTCAACCTTATGTTCTACTTGAAGTTCAGTTGTATGCAGTTCGTGAAATATACTCAGTTGAAAACTAAGCTTGGTTTCAGCGGGAAACTCAACCGAACAACAGAGATTCAGTGAGTTTTCAGTTGAGCCTCCCTGTAAACACTACATTATTCGCAATTTCACTAATTGCGTACAGTTTGGCGATCAGGTGGGATATAACTCACAGGCTGTGCCTACCCGACAAGCCCCAAAAGGAGTGACGGCTCTCGTAAGTTGTCAAAGAGTTTTCGACACCTCATAACTAATATTACTTTAAGTTGAAATCTTATGTGACGCAATTCCTGCCACACACATTGACACATGTTTCAACTCGAGGAAACGTACGCACACACAGTTGCCTTTCAATGTAATCTTTGTTGCACCAGTTTTACAGTGTCTCCGTTGCTCTGCTTCCGACCTTTCTAGCTTGGTAATAAGAACATTTCTTCCAAAACTTTGCACACTGTCTTCAGCCACACCACCGGAAGCCAAAATATAATTATCAGGAAGGTCAGATTCCTGAAAGCCGGAAATGTACGCGCACACAGATCACTATCGTTGATAATTTCCTTCTAGCAGATGCCTTTCAATGTAATCTTTGTTGCACCAGTTTTACAATGTCTCCGTTGCTCCACTTCCACCGGAAGCCAAAATATAACTATCAGGAAGGTCAGATTCCTGAAAGCAACCTCAGAACGCCCGGAACCTACTATTCCACCAAAAGCTCAACAGGAAAGCCGGCAAGCATCCAGACCAGTCAATCATTCAATCAATTCAGTAAAAGCTGATGAGTATTCATGCACGCCAGAAAACCACGATCGAATGTGATCAGCGTTCAGGCATCTCATGAAGGCACGATCGATGTTGATGGGTGTTCATTAACGCTTATCAGACGACCTGGATCAATGCCAGAAAGTCTCCTTTAAATAGGGTGGGGCCGTTGTAAGTTTAGCTCACGCACTCACGCTCTCGCACTGGCTTGTTCGGAATATAGCGATTGTGTTCCCTTCTGTGAGTCTTTTTTCTCCGGCACTAGGCACTGGAGCGGGTCAGCAGCAGATACCACAGATCGGCGAATCAGCAGATATAACAATAACCACTTACAAAAACGTAGTTTTTACACCGTCCTTGTTGATTTTGGCGACTTTTTCATGAGGTTCTTGTCCGGTTTATCGGAGCCACGGTGTGCAATTTCCAGTGATTCGAGCCTCTAACTGTTCCTAAAATCATCATCGCTCTATTGGTGTGGAATTCTTGCAGGGGTTAGCTTCAGTGGTATGTGTATTTAACAGTACATTTGTACAGCACAACGTAGTAAAATGACTCCCAGAGTTCAAA